ATCAGCCTCTGGGTCTAACTCCCCTTGGGCCCTACAACCAAGGGAAACCCTAGATGTAGGTCCAGCTGTGTTCTACGACCAACCCTAGGGTTTCTTTGCAGCAACCAAAAAAAAAGAAGTGAGAGAGTTAACTGCGAGTAGAAGAAGAGGCGGCTGTTGTAACCAGTCGAAAGATTAGCGCTCTGATACCATGTTTGCTGAAATAGAACTGTCGAATGAGAGAAGAAGAAGAAGAAGATATGAGATGGGCGGCAGTTTCTTTCTCAGCCAACCCTAATCTATTATATATAAGAACATTAAATAATGTTACATAAATAGACCAGAATGCCCCTGATTAGTGATGGGACACCTAGTCAAAATAAACACTAAATAAGATTAGGTCCAGTAACTAAGGCCCAATAACTAATGACTTAAGACCCAACAAAGATAAACATACAAATTAAGACAGCCGAACCAACAAATATAACTTAATGAAAGAGGGCATTCTTGGCTCAAATGTTTTCTCTTTTCTCTTTTGTTTCTCTTCTCTCCTCTTCACTTCCTTTTCTTCACATATTTCACATAGGTAAATACCTACATTTTTCTGTATTAAATAATTGTAATGTAGTTAACCTCAACCCTTTAAGAAGGACAATAGTCCAGCCTGAGTGGAGGTTGTCAGTGCCTTGCTCTCACATATTTTAAATACAAGACCTATATTTTTGTCTTAAATAATTGTAATGTAGTCAATCTCATCCCTTTAAGGACAATAGTTCAACACGAGTGAAGTTGTCAATGCCTATAGGACTAGTGTACATCACCAAGACTTCACTTGCAAAGTTTCTAAAAGCCTACCTATACCTAATGTCCTCATATTAGGGGTGCAAATGGATCGGATCATGATCCGATCCAATCCGAGATCCGATCCTATTTGCTCGAATTCGGATCACCCCCTATCCGATCTGATGTGTTATATATTTATAAACATATATAATACATATATATGTTATTTATTTATTTATAAATAAATTATTTATATTGTATTTTTATAAATTTATTTTTTATAAAAACATGTATATATGTGATGAGAATAATTATAATATACTTGTATTTTTTGTTTTTTCTTTATTTAAATTGGTATATTTTATTTTTCTTTTAATAATTTATTATTTTTTAAAGAAAACAAGTTGAATCAAATCAGGTCCGAAGATCCAAAGAACCAATAGGATTCGAATTCAGATCGAGTCCTATCAGATCTGATCAGATCTTCGGATCGGATCGAATCTGACATCAGCAATGTTGGAACGGATTCGAATACACCCTGATTCGAATTCGATGCAATCCGTTTGCGTCCCTGCCTCAGATTGCCATGATTACAGCTTTAGAACATAATGTTGTCCTCTTGAAGGGACGAAGGGACATATCCATAGATAAGTAATGTCTTTTGTAGTTCATCAATATGGTTCTTATATGTAAAGCTCAAGAAAAACAAACAAAATGAAAGGCTAAATGTTGGAAAGATAAAGAAAAGAATTTGACAATTTCAACATCAAAGTGTATTTATTGATAGGCATTCTTGTACACAGATATCAAAAATCTATATCCAATATGCAAAAGAAGAAAAAGTAATTTATTGGTCAATAGTCAAACCAATTAACCTGCAAACCAATAAGGTTTCCAATTTTTTCATATACCAGTTTTTTAATTTTTGAAAACTTGGTAGAACCATTACTGACTCAGATGGTTTTGTGAAAACCAGAGAATTTTCAACGAACCACCCATGCCAGTTGTGCTTACCTTTGTTGCTAAAAAGTCGTTGAGGGGATCATGCACCATCTCAATGAAAGTTAAGACACAAGCAATTGAGCCATGTGCAAGTTTGCATATGTCAAGCTACTATTTTATTCATAGTAAAACAATAAAATGTATAGAAGAGAGATAAAGGCCAAATTCAGATAAGTTAATCGATCAACAAATGGTTTTCCTGAGATCCTAGCCAAACAAAGGATATAAAAGGATCAACTATTTTGGGTCTCTTTTATGTGTGATGTGGTCAAGGGGACTGGCTATTGTGGGAACTAAGAACTGTAAAGAATGTTCTATCAGATTTTGTACAATTAATATGTTATTACAATTACTAATAAAAATACTATGAAATGCATATTACATGCTTAAGTATGATGTCACAAGTCATTGGGTCAACCTAGTGGTTCGACCACTCAGTCTATGACCTAGTAACAAAACAACTTTACATCCTGTCTGAATCTAGCAACATTGAGTTCAATTATTGACTTGTGACCCACAGAGCCAATAATATTTTCTTGTCAGTAACAGAAAATGAGAGATACATACATGCACGGAGGAGAGAAAAGATACTCTCCTATACAGAAAATGTTTGGAAATATGTTGAATCTTAAAACCATAAGTGAAACTAACCTCAGAATAAAGAACACAAGATGCAACCAACACCCTCTGTCTCTTGGACTCTGAAATAGGCATGTTCAAAATAGGTGAAAGGACACTGCACAGCATAAGCTCAAAATTAGTTTCATTTCTCCATGATGAAGTATGGGGTGGAAAGCAATAAGGAGATCTAAAACTAGTGCACTACTACAACCACATACCAATAGTGCATAAATAACTTCAACTGTATCTACTAAACACAAGCACATTGGGGACACTTGGCAACCTGCCCACCTAGTGTGGTGAGCCCAAATTCTCTAGACCTTTGACATGAGTAACTTCTATATATGTAGTCCCATAACCTCTTCATGACCACAACAATTATTATTAAGAAAATGTCTTGAGGATCAGAGCAGTGTTAATCACTTAATTGTAGACAAACATGCATATGAGCTTAAAATTATATGTAATTTTTTTATTAATTAATATATATATATAATATGTAATTAACATTTCATTATATATATGAGTTTAATATTACATGTAAAAATTTTTCATTCATTAAAGCATATATATAATACTTAATTAACATTTAATTATATATACCAGTTCAATATTACATGTAAATTTTTCTACTTAAAAAATATATAATATTTAATCAACACTTATTTATATATACAAGTTCAATATTACATATAAAATTTTTTATTCATTAAAAAATAGATAATATTTAATTATATATACTAGTTTAATATTACATGTAAAATTTTTTATTAATTAAATATATATAATATTAAATCAATGTTTAATTATATATACAAGTTTAATATTACATGTAAATATTTCATTGATTAAAAAATATATAATATTTAATTAACATTTAATTATATATATAAGTTTAATATTATATAGAAACTTTTTATTAATTAAAATATATATATATATAATATTTCATCGATGTTTAGTTATATATACATGGTTAATATTACATGTAAAATTTTTTATTCATTAAAGTATATAATATAATATTTAATTAATGTTTAATTATATATATAAGTTTAATATTACATGTATGTTTTTTTATTAATTAAAATATATATATATAATATTTAATCAACATTTAATTACCTCCAGAGTAATGTTGATCCTGGCTTAATTGTAGATCTTGTAGACATGCCATCTTCTCCATTGTCTTCCTCCCTCATTGAAATAAGTACCATTCGAAGCATACATAAGAATGGTTGGTCACTATCTAGTAGCTGATAGAGTGCTGCCATTCCTCCCATTCCAGTACCAGATCCTCCTCCAATGCCAAGACCACCACCGAGTCCAGACTCATCTAACAACAATGCTCGGAGCATGGTGACTGATTTCTTTATCAGAGGAAGTTCAATCCAATTCCCATTTGCGTCCTTTTCCAAAGCAGATGTCCAAGATTCCCAACCACTGCCACCACCACCAAAAATGGTGGTTTTCAAGGAAAGGCCAACCCCATACCACATCCAGCTCCTATACCTCCAACCTTTAGCTAAGTCTAACGCACAGCTCCCATATGACATAAATGCACACCTAACAGAATCATAAGGTTCTGCTGCTGCAGCTGCGGTAAGACGTTCCATCACTGTTGCAGAAATTTGCCCATTTGCATCAGCCATAGAAGCAAGAACCTGATCATAAGCAATGGAACGGAAAGGGAATAAAGAGGGTATCAATATCAACATAGATAACTGAAAGAAGATTAGTTAAACAAGATTTATTGAAATGAAGAATATTTAGCTAATAAAAAGGATTCATTTACTATAAGTTTCAAGAAAAGAATGAAGATAATTTCCAAAAGTAGAAAAGAGATGAAAATAATATGGTCTTATTTAATTATTTCTCATTACAAAAGATGCATGAATTTATAAATGATTCCTACTGGGTATTATCAAAATAATGGGAATCAAAGTCAACATTAAACCACTTATTTGACATTAATATATAGGGAATCTAGTGTTGGCAAATCAACAACACTAAGTCCCAATGAATGATTATAGTGTTCAAGAAAGCAAAAAAATACTGCCTTTGGTATTCCTGGAACATCAAAATTTTGCCACAGGAAATGATTCTTATTAAGTATTTTACCATAATAATGGGCTGAATGGTCAGCTGTACACAAGGAAACAAAATGGTTTTTCATTCTCATATCTAAAACATTATTAATTGTTGAATAACCATAAACTTATAAAATTCTGGTACAACTACAATCTCCATGAAACATAGATATTATGTAGCTAGAAACAGAAGTGCTAATCTGGGCTAGCACATGGGCCCCAGAGCAATTTCAGTACTTCATAGAATCTAGATTGCTTTCATGGACGTTTTCTTCATTTCAAGGCTCAAGAGTTTGCCCAATATTAAATATGTCCAAATTTGAAGGTGGTTTCCAAGAAAGTTTCTTTGTTTTGAAGCTCAAAGTATAACAAAATCCCAGTATTTCTCATGGATTAAAAGATCTGTCAACTACTCAGCTGATGTTCTACCCATACAAGAAACCAACTGAACCTAACCATATTGGAGGTTTGTTTCTAGGGAGAACAGCCATACCCTGCAAACCATAAGAATAAAAGGAAAAGAAAGTTAGAATATTTGGAAATGAAGAGCAATAGATAAATGAGTTCCAAAAGGGATTCAATCCTTCATTTCTCAAAAAAGCCAGCAAACAGTGCAAGTTTGGGTTGTTTCTAGAATGGGATATATATAAGAGCTTATCAATTGAGCTTTGATGGTTGTTGCCATGGAAACCCAAAGCTATCAGGAATTAGTGGTGTGGTAAGAGATAAAGGAAAACTTGCCAAGTTTTTCAAGATCAATGGAGAAGGGAACTTACTGAGGATAGAAGCATTTGCACTATTGCAAGGACTCAAGCTGGCAAACTCATCCTACTATGCAATTTGATTGTGGTTTGAAGGCTGTCAACTCCTGGTTAATATCATCCGATTCAGGCCCTTGGACTCTCAGACACCTCAGAAGCAAAGCAATGTGCAGCCAATATAAAAGATACTCAATTTATTCCTAGGTTTGCTAGAAGGATGGAAGATTCTTTGGCTTGGGTGTGTGCAACTAGAATCGATCCATTGTCGGGGTGGGGGGAGGGAATAAAAAATGAGGATGGAAAACCTATCAAATCTGATAAATTACATATATGTCACGGTCATTGTCAGCCATATGGTCTATATTATTCACCTCATCCCTGCTCTATGGAGATTTGTTTTTCACTCTACAATCAATAAAACCTCAAGCATGTCACTGACAAAAAAAAAAGTAAAGATTGGACATATCCATTGATGCAACTACCTACCAAGTTCTAGCTCTTCACTGTTTATATCCCTTCAAGTTTCATTGACATCATATCTCTTAAAGATTGTTTTAAGTACCAAACTATGAGACTATTCATGGCATGGTATATTACTCTGAAATCATATTGTTTGCAATCTGCAAATAAAATGGAGACAAAGAGAAGAGAAGAAGAAAAGAGAAGAAGAGAATGAATGGGCAGGTCACCCTCCCAGCTGGCCCTAAAGTGATATTTATGTTAATCATATAAAGTTACATGACTGTACAAAAATACCCCTGTTTAGTAATGACTTAAGAGAGCTAATAACATAAACTGATGAAGGCCAAATAACTTAAGGCCCACTAACACACTTAACTTAAAACATAAACAACAGAATAGGACCACACGTCTGATCATTTATCACAATTCTTCCCCTCAAGACGAGCATAGATATCCATCATGCCAAACTTGCCAAGTGATCCATGGAACTATGTTGAAAGTAAACTTTTGGTAAATACATCAGCCAGTTGCATCTTTGATGGCATGTAGGGAAACAATGTTCACCAAAGATAATACTCTCATGTACAAAGTTCACCAAATTAAACCTTTGGTAAATACATCAGCCAGTTGCATCTTTGAAGAGGACAAGTTACTTTTTACCCCCAGTTCAGTAAGAAGTGTTTAACTCATAATTTCCCCAACAAAGGTACAATACCCCAATGTAGACATTTTGTCTCCAGTAAACCAACCCTATCTGCATTTGTCAATGCCTCAATTTCAAGTCTACTATGCCTCTTGAACAGGATTCTCATTCCAGGACATGACTTCAAATATCTGAAAATCCTTTCAACAGTCTTCATATGAGGAATTTTGGGAGCATGCATGAACTGACTCATAACATGTACCACATAGGTTGTATTTGGTTTAGTAAGAGATGAGTATATCAATCTTCCCCCTAGCCTTTGATGCCTTTTCTTGTCTAGGTAGTCTCCACCATCCAACTCCTACAACCCATGGTTCAGCTCCATTGGGGTTTCAACAGGTCTACTCCCCATCATACCTATCTCCTTTATAGGTCTGGGACATAATTTCTCTGGAAAATTTATATTCCTTCTTTTGACCTTGCAACCTCAAATCCTAGAAAGCATCTACGGTGTCCTAAATTCTTGATCTCAAATTCAAAGGCTGAAAAATTCTTTGGTTTAATTCCCAGTAATGAGCACATCACCAGCATATACTATGAGAGCTATAAGGTTTTCATCCTATCTTCTTATAAATAAAGTATGGTCAGCACCACCCCACTCTGAGTGTACGCAACATTCTTCATGGCTCCACATGGCCTTCCAAACCATGCACGAGGAGACTGCTTCCCCTATACAAAACTTTCTTTAACAAGTACACCTTTCCATGCAAGTCATAGTCAAGAGGAGGCTTCATAAACACTTCTTCATGCAAGTCCCCATTTAGAAAAGCATTCTTTACATCCAACTGGTGTATTTCCTACAAATAATTAGCTGCTAAGGATAGTAGAACACAAATGGTATTGAGCCTGGCAATTGGGGCAAATATCTCCTTGTAATATACCACTTCCCTCTAACTAAACCCTTTTGCTACAAGTCATGCCTTGTACTTTTCCACTATGCCATTTGCCTTATGCTTCATAGTAAACACCCACTTGTTCCCCTCTAGTAGATCCACTAATCACATTTTGGCTTTCAACAAAGCCCTCATCTCCTTATTCATTGCCTCCCGACATCTAGGTTTTGTTACAGCTTCAAAGTGCCTGGAAGCAATATGGACAAAAGAAAGAATAATGACAAAAGAGTGGTAGCAAGGAAGCAAGCTAGATTAATAAGACACATATTTAGCAATAGGATGGTGAGTGGTACATGAACAACAGTTTTTTGAAGAGCAATTGAAAGATCCAAGTAAAAATAGGAGAAACAATGGGAAAAGAGTTACCTTTATCAACAGGATTAAACCAATCGGAGGTTGTTGTCATAAGCTGGCGAATGCCTTTTTCTTTTCTTGTAGGTAATCAGCTCCAAAGAATTTCAAGACTTGCATTAGTACCACCATTACTTGCACCAGTGGTTGATTCAACTGAAGTCTCACTAGGTTCACCTAAGTGCCAAAACAGGAGGGATCAACTGAAGAAGGTGGAGGACTAGGAAAGGGACAAAAGGAAAAGGTGAGGAATGTTAGGTTGAAGGGTTTTATGTATTGATGGCTCGGCTGATAAGTGTTCTTATTAGCCTGTATTTGTGTTTAAGTTGTTATGTACTGGGCCTGTGTTAATGGGCCTAAGTTTATTTGGTGTTTTAAGTAGTCTGGGTGTCCCATCACTAACCAGGGGCATTCCAGACATTTCCTATAACATTGTACTGTAATCTAACATAAATGATAGTGCTGTCGACTGGGTTATGCAGTTCAACATTCTCAGCACCTCTTGGTCTCCTCTCTTCTACTACTTCGGCTACAACATTTCAGCTTACATGGTATCAGAGCATTAAGCATTTTCCTGGTTACAGCCAACGCCATCTCCTCTCTCTTGCTATCTTTCTTTCTTTTTTTTTTATCTTGGTTGCTGCGGTGAAACCCTAGGGTTGCAGGAGAACAATACAAGGTTCGAACCTAGGGTTTCCCTTGGTTGTAGGGCGCAAGGGAAGTAAGACCCAGAAGTTGATGTCCTACTAGACTGTTTCTAGTAGTGAGTAGCCATTCGGCTGCTAAGAGAGGTCTGTATAGGACAGACCTACATTGAGGACTGATTTCAGCAGTCCTAGTATTGGCCATAGGGGGGAACACTCTCTACAGTTGCAGTAATCGAAGCCCAAGAGAAGTCTGCATAGTGCAGTGGTGGAGAGCTCTCAGCTTCAGGTCGGTTACCAGCTCACAGAACACCTTATTTGCTGCTGTAACTGAACTACTTCAGAACTGTGACAGTCTCGGCAAGTCTGAACCAGTGTTGCGAGCTGTCAGAACCTTCTTCAATACTGCAACTAGTCATTTTTTCAGCACTGTGAACACTTCGGCTAGTCTGAAACAGTGTTATCTACACAGAGTCTACAGCCAAGATGCCTTCAATATCCGGAGAGGTCTCTTCTAGGGATATCATACCTGGTGGGAGGTCTTCAAATCTGGAAAACCCGAATCTGCACAGCTTGTAGATTACAAGTGTGCTGCTGGATGAATACAACTTCAAGGAGTGGTCCGTTTCTGCAATGCTTTTTATTACTTCCCGTGATCTCACAGGCTACTTAGATGGGAGTAAGAAGGAACCTGAAGTTGGCAGTGCGGAGTATGCAGTGTGGCGCAAGGAGAATGCCACAGTTATGTCCTGGCTGCTTG